TAACCATTCTGGAGTCGCTGAAATCTTAACAAGGCCTAAGTAAGGAATCAGTCATTGAATGCACTGTCTACTAGGGCAGCTTCCTCCATTTCTCTTCAAATTTGACGAGTTTCTCGCCCATATTCCGGCTCTTATTTCTACCAAAGGTATCCCTACCTCCCATATGTTTCGATGGCGCTCAGGATTTGCGCCTTTGTCAAAAGCGCGCCATGCTGTCGAAACCTCTCCTTCACAAAAGAGGTGCGATGTTTTTGGTCACTCTATTGCTGGAACACGAACTCGGAGGCGTACAGTTGTCATGCATGTGGATGCGTAATGATCGCCGACCAGTTCACCGTCGGATTACCTTCAGAGAATTTGCAATCAGGTGAAGGCGCACATATACAGTTAGATTCTAGAAGGTGTTGTTTATCCACATGTCTGGGACTTCGCCTTCTAGCAATAGAGCGACCAAAAGCATCGCACCTTCTACTGTGAAGGAGTGGTTTCGACAGCATGGCGCGCTTTCAACGAAGGGAACAATTCACACCAATGTCCTGAGCGCCATCGAAACATTATGGGAAAGAGTAGGGATACCTTTGGTGGAAATAAGAGCCGGAAATATGGGCGAGAAACTCGTCAAATTTCAAGAGAAGTGGAGGAAGCTGCCCTTGTAGACAGTGCATTCAATGACTGATTCCTTACTTAGGCCACAGTAAGATTCCAGCTACTCTAGAAGTTCATCCGCGAAGTATTAAAAGGGCTTGATGCTATTCATGAGACTGTTATGTTATGCTTATTTTATTTGAATTGTACGGGTAAAAGAGCATTTGGCCGAATACTTGAGCGCGACTGTTATTTTCAAATAGTTTCATCAACAGTTACTACACTTACTAGATCATGTTTCAAGTTTTCTTTGTCATTTATAGTACGAATTCGCGTTGATGCCTAAAGACACACTCCACCATGAGTTCAGGTAAGATAATCCCTTTCGTGGGTAGAATTAAAGCCGACAACTGAAGCCGCATGTCCCGTGCCTCCCGCTCGAAGGTGCGCACCAGGACCACTGGGCCCTTCTGCAGGCTATGAGCGCTTCCGCTTCCCCCCGGACGCAACATATACATGTCTGCGCTATCTCATTCGTTGCAGTCTCTAGCCTCTCCAATCTTCTTCGCGCTGGTGTCTTATCATCACTCAGCACGTACATTTGACAAAAATGAGAAAACCCACTAGTTTATCGTTCTCGACAAACTTTTTTGCCCTCCTCCTTTCATCCCATCGGTTCACCCGCGCCTCTTTTTTGTGTCGTGTACAGGAATCACATCGGCTCAATTGCAGGATGTGTCTCTAACATCCTACTTTCTTGAATCATTCTAGTAAAAGTCGCTCAAAGCAGTATTTTTTCGAACAAAAAGCCAAGCTTTACAAACTCTTTCACATGGAACAAGCTTTCCTGCACATCCTTATCGCTCATAGCTTACAGGGAGAGTCAAGTGCTCCCTTTGTACCATTGCAGGGAAATATGCGAAGACAGAAGCGCATCGAGCTCAAATCTTGCGGAGTCGTCGTTTCATCGCACCTTTACCTTATCCATAACTGCCCCTTTTTTAAAAGTTACTTCTTTTTGAAACTAATTAAAAATCTCAGCTTGGCTATAAACTTGGTTTCAGGAATAGCTTGACTCTTAATTAGCCTCCAAATGGCCTGGGGGTCCAGCAGGTATATCTGATATGTAGTGCCTTAATATGTATGTGAGGAGCTGCTGGCAAACTCTCCATTAAGGATAAAGCATTTGCCGTTGATCAATCCCTTTTTGGGATGCGGCACGCATTCTACTTCCATTTGTACATTCGTAGTGGCGTTTGAATGCGATGTGGCCTATACAATGACTTGCGGGGGCCAGCCGATGTACAGTCAGTGTTTTTATCCTCCCAGACAAGTCTGGTACCAATTAACCGACCCCGGAGGGATGGAAGGCTTGGTTGGCCCGGGCGACTCACGACCCAGGATTTGATCCCGGACCGCTCGCGTGGTGAGCGCGCCACTTGTCACTACACCACTTCCGCCCAGGCAAACTCTCCTAGAGATGAAAATTGAAACAAGTGTGGATGAAGTACACGTGACTTTTTTGTAGCTACATATCTCTCAGAGAGCAGCAGAAAGCAAACTCACTGAGGAATAGACTTTAGGACCCCTGTATGTGTGCCCGAATCACCAGTTCTGTATCGTTACGTTTCAAAACTTCTTTCACGGTATCGTTTTACAGGTTTGGAAAGCAAATTCGAGCGCAGCGGCTCAGGGCGGGCACATCATCATTCTTCTCTCAGAAGCGGTAGAAGCTTTTCGGAACTTCTAGGCTGGCAAGTAAGTTTTACTCTATCACGAGACTTCAATCAGGTTTCCGAAATCAAAACTAGGGGGAAGAGGACGAGAAAGAAGAATCTTCGAAGTGATCATTCCAAGACGTTCGTCTAGCTCCCTGGAGACGGTGAAAGAGCAGATCCGTGCTTCTGACTGGGTCATTTGCCTTATTAGAGTTCTTCCAATTCTTAAATCTACTTTACAACAACAGTGACCTTGATTCACAAATCTTGACTTCTTTTCTCGAACATTCATGGATATGGAGGACAATAGTGGTCGTGGCCTGGAAATATCTACAAAAACTGCGCAACTTTTGCAGGCGGCATTCCAAAATCGTGCCTAAAAACACCATATGATGTCCGTTTCCTTGCGGGAATCGTGAGGTATATCTTCACACATTAGCTTTATACTCTGCACATGGCTTTGGGTAAGTTTCAGTGCCTGTTAACTGTGACTCTAAAACTCTAACAGTCACCTGCGACCTGGCTGTTTGAATCTTAGGAAGACTTCAGACCAAAACCTAGCAGTTGTATTTTCAACGCTCTACACAACATTTCACATCTTCTGCTATTTCGTGATCTATGAACTGCCCTGCAGGACATTTTGTGCGTCGCCACACACATGACGTCCTCCTTTCATTCCTTTCTCTGTTTTCTTTCCATTGATTATGCTGTCAATCTCCACTTTCCTCTTGTACACATTACTAGTTTAGCCATGTTCGCACAAGCGTTAGGCTCAAGTCAAATTTGTCACTCTATGGAACATTGGTCCCATGGCTAACATTGCTCAACTAACTCCTTACCAACTGTTTTCTCCGGGCTTCGGTCTTCATAGAATACCTCTGTGGCCTACGAAAAATTTAAGACCCTATACAAAGCAAGGTGGAAATAACATGTATTTGACAGCCGAGTCCTACATTCAGCATTGGTACGGCAAATGGTACTGAAGAAGTATCTACATATATAATTTTATGGTAGTACAACCATCCGCGATGCTTGTGACCTCTGTGAACATCCACCGTTTCTTAGGATTCCAAAGTCTCTCGGTGCTTCAATTAGTATCGGGGAAAAACTTAATGTTTCATCTAGTAAACCTCTAATACTTGAATTGTATTGTAGACGTTAGTGATATAGTGTTGTGTATTGTAAAGTTCTCCGCTGAATTGCTCTTCTCTGCCCTTACTGGTTGAGCTGCCCTCATTGTACCCATCAGCAATGTCTCCATCACGACTTATCGTCGTTTGTCAGTGTTAATCACACGAGAGACTATAACTCCTTTCTTATCACTACCCTACTTATCCATCCTATCAGCCTATATCAGTTGCCATCAGTTGCAGTCACCTATGCTCCCGTCCAGCTCCGCATAAGTCATATGGGTGCAAGCACTCCACTGCTAATACGAAAGGCGAAACGAATTTGAGAACTTTGCACTCCGACGCCTACCTGTTCCTTATCACTTCGATATCCCTTGTTATCCCTCATCATTTGTGTTTCCTTCCTACATTATAAAGGTATGAATGTAAAAATTCTACTGTAAACGCCAACAGCGTAACAAAATTGATGACATTTGCATTCTATCGCTCGTTATCAATTATTATCAATCTTACTTTTTATCACTCGTCGTTTCTGCTCACCTTTATTCCTTCAAATTTTGAGAACCCTTTGGCCAATGAGGGTAAATATGTGAATTTCCTACCAGACAGTCGGGCATTACACACACGGTTAGCGGATTTTATGCTATAGAAAGATAGGATAGTTCACTGTTCTCGGTATTTTTTGCTTCACCTTTACAGTCTTTCTTTCGCTAGCACTTTCGCCTTCTTTTTCCATGCCATGTAAATGTTATGGCAACGAATTTGAGCTTTTTCAATTACAAACGTTCATTTCTTACAGTACCAATGCGAATTCTCATTCTATTTTTTCAGATGTGGTTTTTCTATGCGGGTTATCTAACCCTGAGTGTCTCTGTTATCACCATTATCATCCAATTGGCCTACATGCCACTGATCATCAGAAAAGTAGAAAGCTCACGAGATTCCGTCCTGCAAAGCATTCGAGGTTTCAAAGTGGGTTGATTTTGTTACATACATGCCATCGTTGATCCCTGGATGAAGGGTCAAAAATACCGACAATAGAAAAAAGGAGTAAGACTGGATTCCGATTTTCACGTGGTTCAGATAGATAGGAAATATCCTTCAAGCTCTTCTCTTTGAAAGAGCTGGCGATTAAGTTTTTTGAGCATAGCTGACGTTCATCGAAGCAACAGCTTATTAAAACCATGAATCTAGCACCTAGGAATCTAAAATGTGCCATTGCCATGTCCTAGCAGGTTCAACCGCGACGTTGGGGAACTTTCAAAAGTTTTATGATCTACGGCTACATATCACCCTTTTCCACTACCCCCATCGTCTCCAAATTCCGTGGAGCAGAGGGGTTGGGGAAAGGCAAAGGAGAAGGGTGCAGTTTGTCTAGTGAAGCGCAAATAACCTAATTTTATCCACC